TTCTGGGAATCAAACTCAGGTCCTTGTGCGAGTGCTTTACCAACTGAGCCACCCTCCCGATTCCTCTCCTCATCCTTATGTGTCCACAGCAGCAGCACTGGGATCCTGACACCCTGGTGAGGGGTGGGGGATTCTGCACCAGGGATAGGTCTCATTTCATCCCATTTGGTCAGGAGCTATGGCTTTCAGAATCTCTGGACTCCACCCATAGCACGCAGCAATGTGACCGTGTCTCCCAGTCACTTGTGAAATTTGCTCTGTGGGCACTGAAGGTTCTGAGCATCTACAGACCAATGTCCTCTACCATCACTGCTCCTATTGGTCCCTGCGTCTGCCAGGAGCTCTGGGACCCCAGGTCCAGTCTCCTGGAGCCGGGCTGCTCCCTCTGTTGCCCCTTGTCCTAGTTAGCGTCAGTTGTCAACTTGACACAGCCTAAAGTCATCTGAGAGGAAAGACTTGCCTGGATCAGATTGACCTACAGGCATTCCTGTGGGGGAGTCTTGCCAGTTAATTGATTCAGGAGGGCGCAGCCCACTGTGGATGACGCCGTTCCCTGGGGGTAGTCCTGGGTTGTATAAGAAAGCAAGCTAAGCACAGGCCTGTGTATGAGGCCGCAAGCAGCGTTGCTTCATGGTTTCTGCTGGACTTCCTGTCCTGACTTCCCTCAATGATGGACTGTGACCTGGAAGCGTAAGCCAGACAAACCTTCTCCTCCTGTAAGTTGCTTTTAGTCAGAGTGTTTTATCACCACAAGAGATGGAACTAGAGCATCCCTCGTCCCCTGTGTCTGCCCAGAACTCTGGGATCCCAGATGCAGCACCCTGGAGCCCAGCTATTCCCTCTGTTTCTGTTGACCCCTTGTCCTCTGCCTGGGGCTCTGGGATGCCCGAACAGCAGTCCAGCTCCCTGGAGTCCAGCTGCTCCTAGCTCTTCTCTGAGTGTATACAAGGCAGAAACATATATACCTCGGTGCTTTGGGTATGTAAGGGTGGCGGCCTCGGCTGTGACCGCTGCAGGCCTTTACTCTTGTCTTCTTGAGACCAGGGTGGCTGTGACCACTGCCTCTCCTCTCAAGCTTCTCAAAGGCTCTGCCAGTCTTCACCTGCTCACTTTCCCGTGTTACCCTTGTTCATATGCCTCATCCATGTTCTCTGACCCAGGATGGAAAGGCCAGGCTCTGACACTGCATTCTGATGAGGTTTCTCTGAGGCCTGAGTGTCGGGTTTTGCAACTTTTGTCTGTAACAGGGAACTGTCCACCACCAGACTTCTTCTCATTCCTCCTGCTGGCTTTTCTACATCACCATTTTGCTGTCTTTTTGAGACAAGTTATCTAATATAGCCTAGGCTGGCCTCAAACCAGCTGAGAATGACCCTGAAATCGCAGTCCTCTATCTCCAGAATTACGGCATGGAGCACCAGTTCAAATTGCCTTTTTCCTGTTTCGTCTTTTGCCATGTAAATTTCATTTTTCATGGGAACGTGTGTGATTGAGACACTTTCCTGTCTCGGAACATAGATGCTCTATTCATCACGAAGTGGGTCCTCACTCACTCCTTCATTTGGTGCCTCGGTCCCCAAGGGGATCTCCAGGGACGGAGGACCCAGGCCTCAGTGTCCACCCATTGCCCTGGTCCATTGCCCTGGATTTGGGTTCTCCCAGAAGCAAAGAACTGAATGCCCAGGGAGGAATGAAAAAAAGACGCAGGAGGGTGTGGAAGCAGAGAGTAAAAAGCAAGAGCAAAAGACACCAGGTCGGGTGGGGGATCCAGAGCTGGCAGGCCACCAGTGACTTCTGGGCCGATTCTTTTATAGGGTCCCCAGGTCTTTCAGTCCTTTGTTTCCCTCTAGCTGCACTTCGTGACCCTGGCAAGGACAGAGATAATGGAAACACATGTCCTTGCCCAACTGATGCCCTTGTCAGGTCGGTAGTCTTATTTTTTACTGTACGGCCTTATTTTGACACAGTCTAAGGGCTAAGTGGGAATGTTTTCCCTTCTGCCCTTCTGACCCCAGCTGCTACCCTTAGCTAACTCCTAATATCAGGATGCTGGGGACCTGGTGACCTTCGCCACCTCCTGAAGGTTCCTGGGTTGCACTAGCACTTGCCTAGCAGAGGGTGGAGTTCAAGGTTGGCTCTGATGCAGAGTTCTGATAGTTGGTGGGGTGGGGTGTCAGGGGGGTGGGGCAGCTCTGCACAGGGTTGCACCTCGTGTCTTGTTGAGGGAACCTACCCTGAGATCCAAGAAGCCCCTTGGAAACCCAGGGGTTGGAGGAAACCTTGGCAGGGCCCTTAAATGGTCATTGAAGGAGGGGAGGCCTCCCTCTTCCTGGCTGAGTGTGCCAGGCCAGGTACTTTTGCTCAGTGTTGCCCTGCCCATTCTGGTGGCACAGTTCCAGCGGGCCAGGGACCACAGCGACCGTGCACCTCCCCTACTGCTGTTGAATGGAGGGGTCACCTATACCAGGCACTGAGCATCATCCTGAGATGCAGTGTCCAAGCCTGTCCTCCCAAGGGCAGGGGCAGGCCCACCTTCAGCTCCAGTCACATAAAGGAAATGAAGGCAGAAGTGTCCAGACAGGTCTTGCTCACTCAGGCTTCCATGACGCTGGTTTCAGCCAAGGTCCCCTGAGCCGGCAAGGTAGGGCTTTCCCCATGGTTTTTCCACACAAGGGAGAGCTGGCTACCAAGGAGGCACTCAGCCCCATGCTCTGCTCTCTTCCTGGAGCATGCCCTTCATTCATCTGCCCTCTGAGCTGGCACAACTGCCATCACCTGGGCTCCACTGTTGTGCGCAGGGGCCCAGGCGGGACTGGCTTCTCTCAGCAGCCCCACTTCCTTACCTCCTCCGCACTGTGAGTAGGAGCAGGAGGTGGCTTCCCTAGCCACCACCCATTTCCTGTGGTCCAGGTAAGGGCAGTGTGGTCTGTGGGTTGGTCTTGCTGTAACTGAGTTGTTTGTGTGTGTATATCTCTCTCTCTCTCTCTCTCTCTCTCTCTCTCTCTCTCTCTCTCTCTCTCTCTCTCTCTCTCGGTACAGAAATGTCATGGGGTACCCAACTCCACATCCTGCTGCTGCTTGGACCCTCAGTTTCCCTATTTGGGGAACTGAATTTGCGTGCTGGTTGTCATGGCTGTTTTGAGGGGTTATTTTGGCATCAGGAGAGAGCAGAGTACTTGTCAGGCCTTACCTAGAATGGGTTGCCTCTCCCCACAGCACCATGTCTGTACTTTGCGACATCCTGGAAGGACTGCTCCTCACTCTCTGCCTAGAACTGCTGTGGCCTCAGAAGTGGGAGCCCATCCTGGGGCTGATTGAGACCTCAGAAGGGGAGGCAGGTGTCCTGGGGCTGACTGAGGCTGACTGGGCTTGCAGTCCGTTATGCATATCCCAGGGACCCGTGCCAGGCCCCTAGCTCAGCCAAGGGGGTCAGTGGACATATGTGCGCCCCACCCCTCTACATCCCCACTCTCCACCCTGGTGGACAGTACATCAAGAAACTCTAGCAAGGGGATGGAGAAGTAAGACCAACCACAGAAGCCTTGGCTTGATCTGGGTGCCCTGGGACTGGGCGACGCAGAGATGGTCCGGAGCTGGGCCAGACTCTAGTGAACCAAAGCCACCTCCCCAGCCTGCCCACAGCCTACCGAATCCAGGAAACCAGGCCAGAGCGAGAGTTCTGTTTTTGCCTTAAATGGGAAGGAGCAAGGCTCATTTTGACATCTCTGGGCCCTGTGGTAATCTTTCTGAGGCGGTCACAGGACACCTCCAGAAAGGTCAGAAATAGTGCTACATGGGTTCTGTACCCACAGGCTCCTCAAGTAGGGGCCCTAGATGGTTCAGTACCTGCCACAGAGCCACAGGGCAGATACGGGGTTTTGAGGAATAAGCAGCACAAAGGCCTCAAGCTGACGCACTGGGTACTTCTGAGGCCGCAACAGGGGGACTAAGCACCACCCTCAAAGTGGTGACCTGTTGGCCTATATCCCCCAGGCAACCCTGTCCTCACCCAGGACACTCAGTGGTCTCAGGCCTGCCCTATAGAGGAGCTGGCTGTGGTTTGGGGATGCAAAGGTGTCCTGCCTGCTTGACCTGGGGGCCATCCCATCCAGAACATCTCAGGCCCCTAGAGGGCTGAATCCTGGCTACACTGGGCCCTCCCAGGGGAGGGAGGGTGGCAGTAAGGAGCTGGGAAGGTGCCACCCCTAGCTATAGGAAGGTCACAGCCTGGGTCTCTCAGCATGACCATCCCCTAGCTAAGCCTGCGTTATCTTGAGACCATTAATGACCATTGGCTATGGACAGGACAGAGGGTTGTGGCCCTGGAGACATGGCAGCAGGTGGCCAGCAGTGGAATGGTCCTGCCTGTGGGTGAGTTTTTCTCACCCAGCCTGGGACAGGGACTCCAACAAGGTTCCTGGCTCTATTTCCTCTACGACAGGAATAACATCCAGACTCCAAGGAATATATGAGAGAAACAGACAGGCAGTCCTGAACACTCAGTAAGCCACCCAGTGCTGCATATTCGTGGTTCTACGTGGGCTCAGTTCTGCTGCTAAGAGACCTGGGCCAACCAGGTCTATGTGCCAAGCTCGCTGTGGACTTAGGGTACACAAGTGCAGCAGCCCTGCCCTGGGCAGTATAGGGGATGGGGTGGGGCTGCCTATGTGTTATGCATTTGAATGTGTGTGTGTGTGTGTGTGTGTGTGTGTGTGTGTGTGTGTGTGTGTGTGTGTGTGTGTGTGTGTGTCCACAGGGGCCCACTACCTGCTCTCTATGGCACCTGGCCCCCTTAGCAGGTGTGCAGGGCCTCCCCTTCCCCCCATACCCCTTCCTGCGACAGGAGAACCCAGTATGGGAACTTTGAGTGATGCCTGTGCTGGCCCTAGCTGGTTCTCACACCCTGTGGCAGCAGGACTGGAGGACAGCCAGGAGAGACTCCTCCTGCACAGACTGACTGCGGTGGTCAGTCTGGAGTCACTTCCCCTTTTTCTCTACAGGGCATGCTGACCCCACAACCCCTGCTGCTTGCCCTGGCTGGGCTGCTCTTCCTCGGACCTGGTGAGTTTTGTGGAATTGCCTTCACACGTGGCATTCCTGCACAGCAGGCCTGCCTAGTGTCCTCTTGGACACCCCACCCTATGTCCCCTTGGACACAAGCTCCCAGGTGGCTGAGGAAGGACCATACTCTGGGACTAAATCCTAGGCTTTGGTCCATATGCAGCAGGAGGTGGAGTCTTGTCCCAGGCCCCATGGGGCTATAGACACTGGCCTGCACCCTCCCCAGGGCCTCATCCACCCTTGCCTGCCCCCGACTCACTCTTGGGGGCAGCCAGGGTGGGCACAGGGCCTCTCACCCAGCCTATCTGTCTCCCCAGCCATGTCCCAGGAGTGTGCCAAGTACAAAGTCAGCACCTGCCGGGACTGTATCCAGTCGGGGCCTGGCTGCGCCTGGTGCCAGAAGCCGGTAAGAATTGTGTTGATCAGCTGACAGAGGCTGAGCGTCCCCCACCTTTCTGGATGGGAACCTCTCCTTCTCTGGAGCCAAGGACACTGGGAGGGCCACACAGGAAGTGACAGAAGTAGTTCAGGAGAGAAGCTTTCAGAAGGGGGCAAATGAATGTTCCATGGTCACAAGCTGACTCCAGGTACATAGGGAGCAACAGTCCAACTTCACAACATGGGTTGAGCAGTGACTCAGGAAAGGAGAAGGCCCACAGCTAGGCACAGTAAGAACTTCTCAATCCTGAATGACTGTCCATCCTCCTACAGAGGACTCCTCCTTGGGGACTAGATCTATACCACACCCTCCTTCCAGCATCTCACTCCACAGGCCTATGGAAGCACACATTACTCCTTGTTCTCAGACTCCAGGAAGAAGCGTGCATCAGGCAGCCCCTGTCCCTCCTGTCTTCAAAGGTCTTTGAGAGAAAAACAAGTGAAAGTATTTTGCTAAATACGCGCTGTCTTACTTTTCTGTTGCCATGGTAAAATACCCCAACAAAAGCAACTTACGGAAGGAAGGGTTTGTTTGGGCTCACAGTTCAAGAGCATCGTCCTTCGTGATGGGGATGTACAGTGGCAGGAGTATGAGGCAGCTGGTCACGTTGCATCCGCAGTCAGGAAACGGGGAAAGATGAATGCTGATTCTCAGCTCCCTTTCTCCTTTTGAGTCAGTCCTGGACCCCTGCCCAGGCAGGGAATGACACCACCCACACTGGGAGGATCACCCCCACCCCCACCCCAGTTAACCGAATGAAGACAATCCTTCACGGGCGTGCCTGTGTCTTCTGAGTGATTCTAGGTCCTGTCATGTTGAGAGCCAACACTAACATCACATTTGCATGTTCGTATTTGACTCTATTATCAGACTCAGCAAATTTAATATTGACCCAAGTTTTCACTTTTTTCCTGGCTGTTATACTCTAAGGTCGCACAGGAGGTCCGGACCCTTCACTCTCCTTGTGTCCAGAACATTCCTAGCTTACCCTGTCTTTGAGTCCTTCGCAGTTCAGAATAGGTGGAGTCACTGGTACAGTATGTTCTTAGGTGGCTCCTGCCCGGCGTGTCCTCTGCTTCAATTCCACACAGCAATGGTGTCCTCTGTGTCCCACATGAAGCACATGATGTCCCCCTGTTCCTGTGCTGATGACATCCATTTGGACCATGTGCTAAGGTGGCATTTGCCAGGTTTCTCCTGGTAACTTCCAGTGCCCCCTCACAATTAGGGACTAAGCTGATCCATGAGGTAATGTAAGGCTGCTAGGATTCGGTCTCCACCAAACTATGCCTGTGACCATGCCATCTGACCACTGCTGACTCAGGTGGACTCCATTACTGCCGTGGTGGCAGCAGTGGTCAGATTCCAGTTGTTCCTTCTCTCTCTCTCTCTCTCTCTCTCTCTCTCTCTCTCTCTCTCTCTCTCATTGATGGATCCATAGATGTTTATTCTGTTTAATAGTTTGTATTCTACAGCCGCTATTTTTCCAATTTGATGTTGAAATTGCCCTAGACCTGACCCTGACCACTGGGTCCCTCTCAGCTGACTCTGGGTACCTTTGGTATGACTTTGTCATTTTGTTCTCTTCTGGTCACTTTCTTACTCTGGACTGACCAGCTGCCCAACCCACCTTGCCTCCCCTACCCAGTCTCCAGAGTCAGGCGTCTTATTGAGGGATGGTGGCTTTTCATGGTAAGTGAGCCCCCAGCACCCCCCACGACTCCCTTCCTTCTCCATCCCACGAGGCTTTTGGCCTCAGAGTCTCCAGCATCATCTCTTCCATGGAAATACTCCACCACAGAGCTCTATTATGGCTGCCACTCCTATGGCCATTTTGAGTTGGGCTGGCTTTGCCCTCCCCGTCTTGAGCCAGGGTCAGGCCACCTATGCTGATTGGGCCACATGTCAGCTCCTTCCTCTCCGGTTTTGCTGAGTGCTGTTTCTTGAGACCTAAGACTTGGACGCGGCTCTGAAAGCCAACACAGCAGGGCACACCCCGTGGGTGGTGTCCACTGTGCCTCCGCGTTTCCTTTCTGTGATCAAGCAGGCAGCACTTTTGAGCACTCTGGGTTTAGCCAGACCTGCCTTCAATGCAGCAGCCTCCAGCCTGGCACCAACACCCACCAAATACAACCACATCAGATTCAGGGAGCCTTTAGGGGCACAGTGGTCAAAATGAAGGTGCCTTGGGTTCCCCACTCTCCTCACCAGCTTGTTTCCCTGTGAACTGCATGAGCCTTGACCCCAAGCTCTTCCCTGCATCCCAGCAAGGGCTGTCACATTGACTCAAGGAGAGTGCCTGGGTTCCCTTGGAGACAGCAGCTCCCTGGGACAAAGGTCCTACTAAGGAAGGGCTGGGAAGTTCTGGCCAGCACTTGAACCTGAGGCTGCTACTCTGGGCTGCCCTGGTACATCGGCCTTTGAGCTAGAGGTGGGGTACCCCAAGTCCTTGCTGATGGAGGCAGTGACTGAGGGCAGAGAAAGGCCTGTAGTCTATGCCCCCAGCAATCTGTGCTCTTGAGGAGACCCAGAGCTGTCAGGGAGACCCACGCTGTCTGGAGGCTAGTTTGCCCTAGATGGCTGTTCTACCCTACAGGGATATCTATCTGAAATTCCAAGAGCAGGTGTGGAGGGGACAGAGCTGGATCCTACTGTTCCCAAACTGTGACTTCCTTCTGACCTCACTCCCATCCTCCAGAATTTCACCGGGAAAGGAGAGCCAGACTCTGTGCGCTGTGACACGCGGGAACAGCTGCTAATAAAGGGTTGCCCATCCGATGACATAATGAAGCCCGGAAGCTTCGCTATACCCCAAGATTTTGAACAGGGAGGCCGGAAACAGCTGTTTCCACAAAAAGTGACACTCCACCTACGACCAGGTAGGCTTAGCTTTGACCGGGGTGGGCCAGGTACACAGTGCGTCTAGGAGCTCAACCTGGGCTGTTAGAGTTGACAGAATGCACATGTCTGGGTTGGACAGTGAGCTGGTCTGGGTGAGGAACCTCATCACCAAAGTCTGAACTCCAGGATTAGTGAATTGGCTCAGCAGGTAGAGGTACTTGCCCCAAGCCTGATGGCCAGTTTGATGCCGAGGACCCAAGCAATGGAAAGAGAATTCTGTCTCTGCAAGTTGTCTTCTTGCTTCCACATGCATGCTGTGGTGTGTGTATGCCACTCCCCCACCCCGTGCACACACAAACAAATAAATGTAACTTTGGGCATGGTGGTACATGCCTTGCCCTCGAGGCCAGCCTGATCTACACAGTGAGTTCCAGGTGGGCTGGGGCTAGGGAGACCCTGTCAAAAAACAAATAACCAGGGGCTAGAGAGATGGCTCAGCAGTGAAGAGCACTGGCTGCTCTTTCAGATGACCCAGGTTCGGTTTTCAGCACCTACATGGTGGCTAACAACCATCTGTAATTCCAGTTCCAGGGAATCTGACGCCCTCTTCTGACTTCCTCAGGCACTGTAGGACACGGATGCACTTACATACAGACAACACATTCATACACAAAATAAAAAATAATAACAAATAAAAATATTTTTAAAAATTAAAAACTAAGCCAGGTGTGGCAGTGCACGTCTTTAATCCTAGCACTTGGGAGGCAGAGGCAGGAGGATCTCTGTGAGTTCAAGGCCAGCCTGGTCTACGTAGTGAGTTCCAGGACAGCTGGGGCTACAGGGAGACCTTGTCTCAAAAAGACCAAAAATATAAATAAATAAAAATTAAAAAGTTGTTTCAGTTAGGTGTGATGATGCATGCCTTTAATCCCAGCACTTGGAAGGCAGAGGCAGATGGATCTCTTTGAGATCCAGGCCATCCCGGTTGACATAGCAAGTTCCAGTCCAGTCAGGGCTACACAGTTAGACCCTGCCTCAAAAAACAGCCACAAAAAAATTTAAACGTCTGAGCTCTGCCCTGGCCCTTCCTCTGTCTGCCCTGGGAGGAATTCCCCAACCCTACCGTTTGCCTTGGGTGTCTGGACTGTGTTCTACATCTTGTTTAAAAGAGAGAATAAACCATTTAGAAAACATCATTCCACTCAGAAAATTAAGGAGAGTAAGAGTTCTGAGGAGGCCTTTAGCCAAGAAACTAACTGGTTAAACTGGGCTTGCCCCAGGCATACTTGACTGTGACCACCAGTTTCTGACACCTGGGGCTGCTCTGAGGCCCTGTCCCCAGGGATCAGATGGGTAGAGTGAGCAGTAAGTAGGTAGGGCAAAAGGCCTGTGGTGGGCAGACTCCATCCAGCTATGGCCATAGTCACAGGACCTCCCAGGTCACTCGAGGCCAGTAAGGGGACCAGCAGATAGTCCTGAAAGCAGGTGGGTGTGGAGGGCAGGTGTAGCTCCCCAGGGAGGGGCAGAAAAGGGGCCAAGTAGGACCCTGGGGACTGTCCTAGTTCCACTTCTGTTGTTGTGATAAAATATCTTGACCAAAAGCACCTTGGGGAGAAAGGGTTTATTTGGCTCAGAATTCCATCATTACCGGGAAGTCAAAGTGGCCTGAAGCACCTGGTCACGCCACATCCCTAGAGAGAAGTGAAACGTGTAGAGCTCAGCTCGCTTTCACTACTCTTATAGCAGTCAGGATCCCCTGCTCAGGAACGGTGCCGCCCACAGTGGGCCAAGTCTTCCCACAGGAATTAATGTGTGATAAACAGTCCTCTACAGACATGCCACAGGCCAACCTGATCTCAACAGTCCTCACTTGAGACTCTTCCCAGGTGATTCTAGGTTGTGCCAACTTGATGATTGAAACTAACCATCAGGAGGATCCAGTTGGTGCCTGAGGGGTGGGTGGTCGGGACAGGGAAGGGTGGAGGGAAGGACAGCATTGAGAGGAAGGGTAGGTCTGGGAGGAAGTCCTGGCGACTGGTGTACCCGGGCGCAGCAGAGGGCAGCGACTGACACAAGCCCCTCTGCTCTGGGACCTCTGCCTCGACCTGCTGATCCTGGGAAGGCAGCTGGCACGCTTGTCACAGCCAGGAAACCCTGGCTGGCATGGCTGCAGCTCCTCCTGCTGGAAATAGGCTCTCTGGGATTCCTTTGCAAAGGCTTTAATCCCTTTGATGGGGCTCTACCCTCAAGGTCTGATTGTTCTAATGCCTCAGCCTCTACAGTGAGGTATTTGAATGAGTGGCACACAGACGTTTTCTACCATGCACCCATTCTTGTACTCTAAGTGAGCATCTTTATCTGAATTCAAATCTGCCTGCCCTAAGCCACAGCCCCTGCCAGGCCACAGTAAATGAAGAGTCAATGGACTTTGGGGGCTGGGTGAGGGCTGACAGCATGCACTCAGGCTCAAGGTGTTGCCTGCTCTCCTCTGGCAGGTCAGGCGGCTGCATTCAACGTTACCTTCCGACGGGCCAAAGGCTACCCCATCGACCTGTACTACCTCATGGACCTCTCCTACTCCATGCTGGATGACCTCAACAATGTCAAGAGGCTGGGAGGAGACCTGCTGCGTGCCCTCAATGAGATCACTGAGTCTGGCCGCATCGGTGAGGCCCTCAGTGCATACATGCATTTCAGCCCTAGGTAGCCCCTGCCACCACACACCTCCATCCACAGAAACAGGAGCCAGGGAGTTGCAGGTGCAGCGTCCAGGGAACCAAGGTCAGGCCTGCATCCCCATAGGAGCCACGCCTGGTCACAGGCTGCCAAGACCTGTGGCATCTCCAGCCCTTCTCTTCTTTTGTTTATTTATATTATTATTATTATTATTATTATTATTATTAATTTTGGTGTTTAAAAGATAAAAGTCCTGGGCAGGCGGTGGCTCACACCTTTAATCTCAGCACTTGCCTCAGAGGCAGAGGAAGGCAGATCTCTGTGAGATCAAGACCAGCCTGATCTACATAGCGATTTCCAGGGCAACTGGAGCTAAAAAGAAGAAGAAAAAAAAGAAGATAAAAGTCCTACAGTGCTAATTACTACAGCTGGGCACAGTGGTGCAAGCCTTTACTCCCTACTCCCAACTCAGAAGGCAGAGGCAGGGGGATCTCCTTGAGTTCAAGGGCAGCCTGGTCTATATAGTGAGACCCTGTCTTAAAAGAGAAAGAAGGGAAGGAGAGAGGGAGGGAGGGAAGGAGGGAAGGAAAGAGAGAGAGAGGGAGAGGAAGGAGGAAGGAAGGAGGAAGGAAGGAAGGAGGGAAGGAAGGAAGGAAGGAAGGAAGGAGGAGAAAGGAGGAGGAAGGAGGAGGAAGAAGGAAGGAGGGAGAGAAAGAAGGAGGAAGGAAGGAGGAGGAAGGAGGAGGAAGGAGGAAGGAGGGAGGGAAGGAAGGAGGAAGGAAGGAGGAAGGAAGGAGGAGGAAGAAGGAAGGAGGGAGGAGGGAGGGAAAGAAGGAGGAAGGAAGGAGGAGGAAGGAGGAGGAAGGA